TAATATATATATATATATATATATATATATATATATATATATATATATATAAAATAATATTTTACTAAATATACGGTATAACTAAATAATTTACTTAAAAGATTTTCCTGGCACTGCAAAGTTCTGGTAATGAGAGGATATTTTTGGGCACTGTAAAGCAAGGTTTTACTTACCGAATCGTACCGCCCGGTACGGGCGGTACGTACCGGTCCGAGAGACGACCGGTACGCGGACCGCCCCGTACCGTACCGAGTACTGTAGCAGTGTACAGTAACACTGTAGCAGTGTACAGTAACACTGTAGCAGTGTACAGTAACACTGTAGCAGTGTACAGTGCTCGGTACACGTGAGTGTACCGCTCGGTACACCTGGGTGTACCGAGCGGTATACCGTACCGTACCGGTACCGAGCCTGGGTCGAAACGCCGGTACGGTACGGTACGGCGAACCTTGCTGTAAAGTAAATATCAGAGACCATCAACCACTTTAATATTGGAGAGAGCTAAATGACTTCTAGAGAACTATGATTAGGCACCAGGGGCAAAATAAAATAGTATGGATATCTAAGTTCCAGCTGGCTCATATGGTCTCTTTGTTTATTTTTCTACTTCCTTTCACTCACTTCAAACAACTCTTTATGTTTCTATTTCCTTGTCACTTGATCATCTTTCTGCACCTTTATCAGTTGCAGTCATCATCAGAGAGTTCTTTCCATTCTTCGAAACAGATCAATGCATTAGCTGTATGATGAATCTGTATTCCCTTACAGAATCTGCAAATTTGTCACTTAGCTTGCAGATGATACCTGCTGAATAGGCTCTTTGCACTCATCCGGATTGATATATTCGGTTACACCAAAAGCCTTTCCTGCACCAAGAACAGAAGACATTTAACAACTGCAAGCAATACATTTAAGCCAGCAGCCATATAATACCTTTTTCATATTTTTCTGGATTTATGTCCACTCCGATTATCCGAGAAGCCCCTCTTGATTTGGCAGCTTGTGCTACCTGATGAAGGATGATATAATTGAATGCATTTGACTCGGAAAAGACTAATGTATTTGACAAGTCCAGAGACCAGTGCTGAATCTGTCATGGGACTTACTGAAAGGCCAACAGTGCCAAGACCAAAAATTACTACAGTTGAACCTTTTGATATATCAGCAACATTCCAAGCAGCTCCGATGCCTAAAATGTAATTATAGTTCAAATGACATCAAAATCAATTGGACGGAATTAGTATCAGCAAGATGAGACTCAGTAGTGACCAGAGAAAAAACCATAAGCATTCATCATGACAACGAATGGACACATAAAAGAAAAAGACAAAAATGATATTCATATGATACATTGACTAATGGACGGAATCAGTATGAGCAAGATGAGACTCAGTAGTGACCAGAGAAAAAAACCATAAGCATTCATCATGACAATGAATGGACACACAAAAAAGGAAAAGACAAAAAATGATATTCATATGATACACTGACTAAAATATTAATTACAATTTACAGATGCAATTTCCAGATCAAGATTTTCTAAACGATGACAACTCATGTGAGAGAAATTATATGGGTCATGCGCAAAAAAGTTCCCAAGAAATCAGACAATTCTTGGCTATAATCAATAACTAATGATACTAAAAGCACAAGTAGTTGGATTTAAACTGAGATTAAATTTAAGACCTTTTTCAGCTTTTCTATATCATCATTTCCTTTACTCTGCTTTAGATTAAAAAGAGTCCTTTGCATCAGCTTTCTTTTAGCCAAATTTATAGTCTGTATAAGGTTCCATTGGTTTTAAGGGTCAGCAAGTCAGGTTTTGATTTAGTTATAAGTGACCTCAAGTGGTATCACTCAGACTGATGAGCTATTTCACTATTTCTGTCCATGTGACTGTTCATTTGCCACACTGGCACAGGCCTATGAGTGGCATGACCCAGAAGAGGTAAAGAAAGAGAAATGAAAAGGACATAAGAAGAGAAAAGCTTTTACCTGACATCCTAAACGAAATTTGTAAAAACTTAGTGCCTATTCAAAAGGAGAGCATTTGTGCCAATATCAGCACCCTAGTTCTTCTAGAGCAGTAATTTCTTTTCCTTTTTCTGCTTGCTTGAACAACCATCTATTAATTTGTTTTCTTTTAATCAGCAATAAAACCTTACAGTTTCCTGAAAAAAATGGTACTGGTTCTAGCCAATTTTCACATCTTCTAGTGTATATTTTTGAAGCTGGCATCCAATGTTTATATGTGGGTATCCGTATTGATACATATCATTCAGATCTATTTTATCTCTTTAATTTATGACACAGGGTTCCACTGCATAAACTGGTCTAAAGAAGAATGAACTGTGTTAAGTTAATGGTCATGCTAATGAAAACATTGTTGGTTTGTGAATCTTGCGACATGACATAGTGGAAAGATTTCAATAAAGGGAACAATTAGGCAAATTTAATGCAACCAAATCTTTCTATCAATTCAATATACAGCATCCGTGTTTTAGATTAGGTGCGACAATGAGAATATCACAGATGCAAACGAAGCCACAAGAAGAAACAGCACGGGATGCCGGAGTTTACCTGCAGCCACGCCGCAACTAAGAAGGCATGCCCTATCCATCCTCACGCTGGGGCTAATCTTGACAGCACAACCAGAGTGCACCACCGTGTACTCGCTGAAGCTCGACACGGCGCAGTAATGGTAAATAGGCCTCCCGTTCACCCGGAACCGAGTCTTCTGGTCGCTGTGCATGACGCCCCTCCTCTCTAACCCCAGCTTCTGGCACATGTTACTCTTCCCAGACGTGCAGTGTTTGCAGCTCTGGCATTCTCCGATGAACACCGTGAGCACATGATCCCCCTCCTTGAACTCCGTCACGCCCTCTCCTACACTCTCCACAATCCTGCCCAAGTTAAGCGTTCACAACCTAACATCACATCGTGCGATTCATGGTTGCTGAGCGAATAGGACTGAGATTGAGAGAGAATACGAACCCGGAAGCCTCGTGGCCGAAGATGCGAGGGAAAAGATCGGGCTGCGCCTGCAACCGGCACAAACAATAACATGAGCAGTGCTCGGAAGACACACACCAAGAACGATCGGGTGGATTTACCGACCTGAGATTGCCACTGGGTGAGGTCGCTGCGGCAGAGGGAAGTGCAGGCCACCTTCACGCGGATCTCCGACGCCTTCGGCGGGTCGACCTCCACCTCCTCCAGCACCAGTGGTTGCTCTGGTCCCCATGCCACCGCAGCTGACAATCCAAAGACCAGAACAGAGGAATCAAGGAAAAGGCGAGCGATCAAAGCGACAGAGGAGCGATCGAAGGCGTTTCGAAAGCATATTATCACGATGATGTTGAACCTTTGCAGGTGATGACGCCAGCAGATTTGATCGAGGAGGACATTCTCGCAGCTTGGAGAGATCTCACCGAACCCAAAGGCTTGTCCTGATGAAGTCAAAGGTGGATCGTTTAAAGGGAGTCCCAAAGCTCGTTGCGGGGACGGCGAGGTGAGGGGGTTGGTGAGTAGGTGACGGGCGGTAGGTGACGGAGCGAAATTGGACCCGGACCCGGATCCGGATCACATCATTAGAATTGCGGGTCGGGTTTGGATCCAGGAGAAGGCCCTCGATCTCGTGGAGTTCACTGGGACCGTGACCCAAGCCATCCCCGGCCCCAAGGTCGGGCCGAGCAAACTTCCGTGCCTTCTCGCGGCGCCTCTGGCGTGGATGGGCTTGTCTTTCGTAATTGCTTTGTGAAGGCCGTGAGGAAGTTCACTTCGCCTAGAGCACAGCGCAAGAGTTTGGTACGCCTCCGTTCTTGCATTCCTTTTGATTCAGGAACCTTTTGGCTTGTGTTTCCCTTGCATTGTTTCAATCAGGTGTTTTATTGCAGGTAAATAAGAACGTTTTCTTGTTAAAATCGATAGATGAGTTGTTTCTGAAGGGCAAGGATGAAGTAAACAACTCCGCTCTCAAAGATCTTATGCAAAAGGTACTTGCTATAGGTTTTTGCCTCTGTTTGATCAGATATACCTTGATGGTTATTTGCGGGAGTTAATTATCTGCTTAGATTACAGGGAGGTTAACTAGACAATATGATTGGATAGTTGAGAAAATTTTATCAGTGAAAGGCTTCAATTGATACCGATGGTTTGAGGCAGATAGCAGTAAAATTTGCTGAGATATTTTTATACATGCAACCTACCCGGGCCGATAGTATTAATGTAGTTGCAGAAAGCGACTACGTTAATGTTGCCAGGTTGTATGTTGGCAATTGACTCGAGGAATCAGTACAATCGCTTTTGATCCTTTTCCCTTGTGTAACATGTATTTTTCGTTGTGTAATATGCTTTAAACCTTTCCTATCTAAATGTCTGGCTTTTGTTCATTGTTATATTACAATACATTCACAAAAATGAGAGATTCATCATATCTTGGATCTTCTTCCATTCAAATTAAGAATTTTTTGTCTATTTTATTATGCCTTTATTGTTGTCAAACCATTGTTGTGGCAATGAGGTATGTTAAATATGATGCAGAATCAAGTGTGATCATGTTTTCTAATGCCAATTAAGAATCCTTGCTGAAGTTTCTAATAGACAAGAAAATATGGAGTTATTTGCCATGTAATAACCATAAATCTTGTAATAGAATCTTCTGAATTCAGTGTTGCAACCAGGTCTCATTTGTCATGGTATCTAAGTATTTAGAGGATTTTGAGATTTAAGTCAAATTTCGCTGTTGCAGATCAGTAGCTTCTATTAAATTTTCAGAAGGAAATATGTTCAAAACACTAATTGTTGTTCAAGGGAATCATTGTAGATGCTAGATTAAGTGAAATTTTTTGATCAAGAATGCTATAGCCTTTAAATTTACTCCACTTTTCTGTTCTTCTCGAGTAAACGTGGTTTCTTCAATATATTTTCTTCCATGTGATGAACTATGGACTATCTTTTAACATTCCTTCATGAATGAAAACACAAGCATCACTAGGAAAAGGTGTAAATTAAACCCAAGTGCTGTATTATAAGAGAATTCAATAAATAAAATCAAAACCATTCTTGGGAAGCAGTTAAACCTCCTACTAAGTTTTCAAATCTTGCTTCAGTGATGAAAATATACTTAAGTGCAGCTATCAATTCACTACAAATAACAACCAAAAGGAAAACTGTTTTTTACTATCTATATTAAGTTCTCCGATCTCACTTCAGTGATAAAATTTGGCACCTGAATACAGTAGACCAATGAAGAAGACAACTAGACCCATTTTTAATACTCCATGATACATCAAACAAGAGACAACTCACTGTTGGTTTTGATAATTGAGATATTTATGCATTTAGAATGATGTACATCTACATCAAAACAAGTAATCCTGTACATCTCAGAGAAAAATTTACATTTTTTACTGTATATTTCTAAAATTCAATAATTTTTTAGTTTTCAAATTTCTATAGGATCTAACAGTAAAGTTGCCACTTTGCTGATCAATTATTTCAGTGCGCTGTTTAGTGTACATGAGGCCTTTTATTATGTGACCACATCTCTTCTACTGTACTTGTCAATGTGATTGGTAATGTAAAAGAAAAGTAAAATGCTTTAGCAGATCATTTTCTTGAGTATGGTTTATCAAGTATGTAAAGTTTTGGATCATTGAAAGTTATTAAGTCCCCTTTATATCTGTATTCAGACGGGTTTCAGCATGGAAGATATTTTAAGAAAGTACATTCGATATGCTTTGAATGAAAAGCCCTTCAACACTGACCTGGTTGTAGATCTCATACATCTTAGAAAATCATCACTGTTGGAAGATGCTCAAGTTGCAGAAATTTTAAATGAGGTCTCAAGACGAACTGTTAAAGATAAAGGTG